AATCGTGCAATAACCCAGAGTTGGTTTTAGGCAAAGGAGCTCACAGAGATCCAAGTGCATTTACCCTTTTAACCACTGATGAGGTCGGTGGATTGGAGGCTCAACGAAAATCGGACGGTCAGTGGCTAAGGCTCAGGCCCATACCCAACTCTTACATTATTGTTGCCGGTGACGTGCTTCAGGTATGGATGCAGTTTCTATAAGGCCTTCAAGGAAAGCCTCACCAACTTTGCACAAGGGAAATTTCTATGATTACTCTAAAACCAAGCTCCACTACCGATTATGAAAATTGTAGCTCAAAAATAGTGCAGATCTTGCAGATTTATGAGCACTTAATTAGACTTTGTATTAACTATTTTTAGGGTTTGAAATAAATTTTTTTTTCATGGCCATAATGGTCATGCCGGAGATGATTGACTTGAAGCTTATCTGACGCTAGAAACTTTCCATGAGTTTTGAGTGCAGGTTTTTGCATACCATGCTTTTAAGTGAGCATATCCTATAAACTTTCTCTGCTAGGTAGGTAAGTTTTTTTTTTTTTTTTTATAATATGAAGTTTTCAGAACCATCTAATAATTACTAGATAATTATTTCAAAAGAAAAAAATTATTAATTTCCAGTTCACTAACACCTTGATCTCACCTTCAAAGAAATGGATAGTTTATATTTCATTTTCAAACATTACTTTTTTCAAGGCCACCAATAGTGTTATTTAAATTTTTTTTGTTTTTTTTTTTTAATTGAGGTTAACCTAAGAGACTTACATCCCCAAATTTGGATTTGTACTAGTAGTGCTTTTAGATTGAGTTTAACTCGAGAGAGTAAATAAACAATATACTCCCACTGGAGCATGAAATCTTTTGGCAACAACATATCATTTACTCGTAGAGAGATGTCAAGATGTTGAGAGAGAGAGAGAACGGGGTCAAAAAGAAGACGATATAGGTCTAGAGAGAGAGAAGAAAAACTAGACGATAGGGTCTATAGAGGAGATGTAGCATGCTTATTTATTTTCCTTTACATCTCTTTGTGGGAGTGATAATGTTTTATGACCTTCACAGGTATTGAGCAACGACATTTATGATAGCTTAGTCCACAGAGTTGTGGTGAACTCTCAAGTCGAGAGGTTCTCAGCCATCCTTGGGGTTGTGCCTTCCTACAATGCCGTTGTGAAACCATTAGAAGAGCTGGTTGATGAAGACAAAAACCCTGCACATTATGGTGAATACAAATGGGGTGAATACTTTGTGTCAAGGAGGACCAGCAATTTCATGAAGTTGGACAAGCCTGTGATTGAGGTTGCAGACTTCAAAAAATCCAAATAAGCTACTCTCATTGTGGCAAATTTGCAATGCTTTGTGCCCTTGCTTGCTCTTGCTTTCCTTTCTGTCTTTCTAGTACTATGCTCTATCTCTAATGTTTGTTCGAATAAGTGGCGTTTGGTCCACAAACTACGTACCTGATAACGCCCAGCTATTATTCAAGTGTTATGTAGTATGGTTTGTGTCATCCTATTGCATTAAGGTTGATATGTTTGCTGTACTTATAATCTCCTTATCGTTTCATCTTCTGGTTATACGTAGGCATCTCTCTCTCACGTACACAAGATGCATCTCTCTCCTCTCTGTTATATCGGGCTGCAATGGTTGAGATTGAACCACATACATCCAATGGTTCAAAAAGAGTTTCACATTTTATTTTTTATTTTTGTTTATAAATGATACTTGTTGAGAATTTAGATATGAACTTATTTCTATACGGAGAACCTAATTAAAAGAATGAAAAATATTTTGAACAAAAAATGACCAACACACACTCTAAAATAATTTAAGTGTGTTTTAAACACTTAGCACATAGAAATACATCAACAAATAAAATTTTAAATGAATATTATTCTTAAATAAAAATAAAATATGGAATACGAAACTCTGTTATGCCCATTGGATGTGGCTATGTTTAATCTAAACCATTGGTCATCCATATTATGTGGAGGGGAGGATTTCTCATATATCTAATGTGTTGCAAGATGCACTAATTGCAGTATTTTCAAAAAGTTTTTCACATCCATGCACATTCAGATTAATACAATGATTTTATAGTATCAAAACAATCTTCTTGATTGAACAATTAAATGAAGTTTTTTCCAATAAATGAAAAGAGTGTACATTTAAAAAATCATGTCAAACGAATGTCTTTAACATGGTTTTTGAAGATGATTGTATTATACTACTATACAACCGTTGCATGAAATCATTCACATATACTTCTGCTAGATCCCACAAGTCCTTTCACGCCCTTCCACCGTTTATATTATGCGAGATACACTACTTCTAGTATTTTCAAAAAAATATTTCAATCCTCGTACTTGGAGGAGGTTAAGATTATGATTTTCTAGTATGAAAACAATCTTCTCGACTAAAATATTTGATGAAGTTTTTCTTTATAAATGGACTTGAAAATCACAATACTTTTTTAATGGGTAATTCAATAAGGATGACGAGCCCTTACACATTTTTTAAATCGTTAGCAATTTTGAATGCTTACGGTGAAAATAGAAACCTAGACTTTTAACTTGACACAAGTGGTGTTACCCTCTATACCTAAAACTTTCTTAAAACAATTTTTTAATCACACTCAGCTCACTCATGCATGCTGCGCATTGATCACACCCGTGCTGCTCTACGCGTCTAGCTCATAATTCTTTTTTTTGGGGTTAGTGTATATCACCATGTGGGAGCAAGCAATTCCACGGGACAAGATTTTTTGAAAGTCGAATGAATTTGAACCTATCTCTTCTCACTATGAGCCATGCCTTGCCCCTGACATGGTGCTGGGAAAGGGGTGGCACGCTGATATCAGTGCTCTCACTCTGCTGGCCCAAATCCAGCCCAGTGGGCTCGAGATCAGGGGCCAGGACAATGAGTGGATCAAGGCCAAGTCCATTCCCCACTCCTTTACTATCCAGATTGGTGACCTCATGGAGGTATCTATTGCTAGTGTATCAATCAAGATATCATATTTGCTTCTCTCTCTAAATACTCATAATAATATTTGTTTCTCTCTCTTACAGGGGTACACGAACGGGCTGTACAAGAGTGTAGAGAACAGGGTGGTGGTGAGTGGAAAGAAGGAGATGTATTCAGTAGCGCTGGCGTTTGTGTCGGCCATCGAGGCGACTGTGCAGCCGTTGCCTGATCTTGTTAACGAGCAGAACCCAGCCAAGTACGAGCCTTTCAACTATGGCAACTTTTATAGGGTGAGGAGGCTCAGCAACTGTGTGAAATTGGCGAGTGAGAATGACATTGTCACCATTCACACCTTCAAGAAGCCTACTACTCCTGCTCCCACTGCTGCTGCTACTGTTGCTGCTTAAATCTTTTCACCTCAAGCCACCCTAGTTTATCTCTCTATCTCTTAAAATTTGCTTTAAAGATTTGAGCCTTCTTTCTCTCTCTTAATGTTGTCATTATGTCTCTTAATGTTGTGCTTATGTCGCTTATTGCTGTGTCACTCCTGTATTATGTACGCGTAATCTGGATGTTGAGAAATGAGTTTGGGTAGCAATACATGAGCTTTCCGATTACACTTCTTTATTTGCCTTTGTTTTTTAATGATACCATTTTTTTTTATTATGAAATAAAGAGTCCTTAGAAAAGTTTATTGTTTTGTTTTAGCTAAATGATAAAGTAAAATCAATGAAAGTGCCCCACTAATGCAAGTGGCTTGTGAAGTGCAATGCATGGAAATGTCACTAAGTTTATGGTGCACATAATACAATTAAAAAGCTTAACTTACATAAACCTAAATATTCTCAACCCTTTTTTCATTGAAAACCGGCAGTGGATTAAGTTTCGGACTCTATTCTTACCCTTCTGTAATTACCCAGGAAAAAAGAACAGGCAGTGGATGCCCTAACTTTGTAAGGTAGGCTTTTCCTTAAACAATAAGGTGAGACATATGCCTTCAATTATGCTCCAAGATCCTAATATCAAGTTCCCAATATTTATTGAGAAAATGGGCAGCCACTTTAATGTGGATACCAATTGAAAGCCCTTTTGCGGTGGAGAGAGTGAAGAAGTGGAGAGTGGATTATATCATTATTTATTTGTTGAGAATCGAAACTGACGGAAGCATTGCTACATGAGTAGAGTGAGAGGAAAACCTAAAGTTTCTATGTGCTATGGGAGTGACGCACATTATTCATGTCATTATTGAAAGAGAATGGAAACAAGGTTGGTACATTAAAAAATAGGAAATGATGTTGGCATGAAGGGGTAAACTTTTGGAAATGGAAGGATGAAATACAAAGTAAATTTACATATATTTTGGGAACACCTTGAAGAACATGAGTTCTCTCTGTTTTTCTTTGTTTTAGCCACAAACAATCGTTCTTTCAAGACAATATTGGCTCTTATGATGTGCATTTAACTTCTTTAGTCGAATTTGTCCTTGAGATAGGACTATTTATCTTATCTAGAGATATGTATATAAGTAAGAAAATATCTAAAGTACCAAAGTAGCCTTTTATTAGAGAAAGAAAGTAAGAAAAAGTACTTACATCAAAAGTGAGAGCTATCTTTAATTTATAGAGAGAGTCTCCTTTTAGTTTGGAAAAATATATAATGAGACCATTTATCTTTGGTACAAGAAAGTTACAATTAATCTTGACCATTGGAGGTAAAATTAGATGGTTTCATTTATTTCGAACTAACTCAAACTTCAAAAGAAATTTTTTCGAACTTTGTGACACACCCAAGCTATCAGATTTCACGTCAAATGGTTGTAAATAATTGTGACATCCTTATATCAAAGGTAAATGGTCTCATTGTATACAATCCCAGTTAGTTTTGGTAATTTATTTATTTATTTATTTATTTGAATAATGTTTTGATAATTGTTTCATGCTGTAGTTATTGTAAGTTGAGGGGCTCTGAGCCTCTGACTCTTGGTTTCTTAACTTTTTTTTTTTGTTTGTTTGTTTTTTTGGGTAGATCAATGGGGAATACATGCCCCTACCTTTTTTTAGAAATAATTAGCGGTTTTCGAATATGTTAGTGGAAATGAAAACCTATAGCTTATGCCCAAATGGCGCTACCACCATGATATCTTATAATGGCTCATCAATTACGCCTTATGATGGAATTGGATACCCATACACCAAAAGAGCATTGCACACCAAAAGAATAGTATCTCATTTGAGGTCACACTCCTTGAGAATCCACAGCAACGTGGTGATCGATAAACATAGTTGCTACTAGCCCAAGCCCGATCGCCACTTGTGCACAAGTTTCTTACTCTCTCACGTGTGTGCATAGCATGCTTTGGATCTCTGCATAGACCTAGTCTACCCTAGCAACTTAGAACACAATAGTATATGATATTCCCACATTCAAGCATTACTTATACTTTTCTATTCTTCAACGTGGGACTAAAATATTG